TGGCCCTCAGGAAATGTCACTTAGGAATATCTGGACGCTGTGGTGTATGAAGTTGAATTACTATTCAAGAGGCCACAGGACTTCAGGAACTTGGGGCCTTCTCTAAGACATTAATGTTCTTAGGGAATCACAGTCCAAAGAATCTAAACCAAGAATAATTTTCTTTCCTGGGAAATGTGGAAATATCTGGAAACAGTTACTGTTAGCACAATTCACAGGGCAGAGGAAAGCACCGTTGGTGTTTAAAACACTGCTACATAGAAGAAACCTATAACAATCTACCATGAGTACCACTGTGGAGAAATACCAGGTGTCATTACCACTGTGGAGAAATACCAGGTGTCATAAGCGTAAATTAAATCCACCTCTTAATATCTTACATTTTGTGGAATTCCATATTTTTATGCTAAATATAAAAATGCAATTAATTATAATGAGGAATGTTTTAGTGGTATTCACATGGAAGGTAGTTTCAAAATAATCAAACCTGGCACTAAGCATTCTCAAAAAGGGTATTACTTAGCTATCTCAATACTGTGCTAAAAAAGGAACAGAGTGTGCAATAGTCATTCTCAGCCTCAGGAAGAATCTTTATCTCCAAGAGGATGAATATAAGTGCTCAGTATATCTGTCCAAAACAAAGGCATAACATAGTGCTTATTCCCTATCATGATGACAAGAAGAAACCTTCCCCAGCCAATACCATGTGAATCTCCATCTTCCAGATTATCTAGTGTCTGCGCCTACAACAAGTAAGAGCACACCTATAACCCAAACTGATGATTCAGCTATACCTAAGAACTGGGAGTCAAAGAAAACATCTCTAGGGACAGGGATATGACTCAGTTAATAGAGTGCTTCCAGGCAAACATGAGGAGAGAAGTTGAGAATCCCAACATCCGTGTAAAGAGCCCTAAGTAGCCACTCATTTCTGTCTGTTTTCTCAGAGCTGTAGATAGAGTCAAGAGGTTCTGTGGGGTTTGTTGGCAAAGTCTCAACTGAATGGGTGAGCTCTGCAATCAGTGATACCCTACATCAACAAATAACGCAGAGGGCCAGAAAGATGGCTCAGCTTATAAAGTTGCCCTGAGTTTGGCCCCTGAGCATATATGGTAGGAGAAAACCAAATCCCACAAGTTGTCTTCTGGCTTTCACTTGTGGGTCATGTTATATGCGTGCACACATACACACACACAAATAAATAAATAAAATGTAATTTTTAAAAATTGGTTTGATATCTACTGAAGAAGACACCTGACATCAACATTTGGTTTATACACATATGCACACACACACACACACACACACATACACACGTGCGCGCACACATACACATGCACACATACACACAAACAGGCACACATGTACACATCAACATTATATTAAATGGCAAAAAATAGAAAACATTTCCTCTGAAGTTCGGAATGATACAAGTTGTCAGACTCGACATTCTTTTGATATAGTGCACATGTGTGTAAGCACACACACACACACACAAATACAGATAACTCTTAAACACCCACCTTCTCTTCAAGCACTGCAAATAATGAGAAGTACGCCACAGGCTGACAATGACAACATTAATTTAACACACACATCCATTTCATTGTCATGTATGCCAACTCATTACCAAGACTTGATGAGAAGGGAGAATGTTCCAAAAGTTCAGAAAGATATTCCAGAGGCTACACCCAGGCTCATCACCAGTGCTCAGAAAGCATACGTGTTCAACAAACAAAAGTGTTAAATTCTAATAGAACCTGCCTCAGTTCTATTAGAATTTAAGGAACATCTGAGTAACACACGCAAACAGTGTCCCAGTACATTTACAGTGAGAAGGGATGTGGCAGCTTTAGTCCAATGTTTGCCCGGAAGACTCACTTTTCTTATAAAAGAAGGGCATCAGCAGTCAGCTCACGTTACCGCCCACCCTTCCTCTCAATTCCAATTGGGTACTCTACAAAGGATTCGTGAAGAAACCACACACTTATGCAGGCAGCCAGAGGCCTGCAGGAAAGGGTTTAAGGCAAGCAGGGAATTTTGTGTGGAAATCAATTCTTTGCGGAAGTCAATGTGTTATGGACATTCAAGCAAGAGAAATTCCAGAGAGAATGAATTGCTCAAGAAAGCCAGCTCCTTGAGGTGTATATCTGCAGTCAGTAGAAGAAAAAAAGATGGAAGGGGTGAGTTAACCCTTCAGGCAGCTCTTAAATATGCATTACCTATTGAGTTGGGGAAAGCCAGAGAACTGAGGTTGGGTCCTTTAAAACAGAATTCCTTATAAAATTGATTCACAAACTAGAACAAATTTCCCCCAAATCAAATGGATGTCACCAACAGGCTCCTTCTTCCTTGTGCTTTCCTGAATAGGACCATGCTCATAGGAAGATTCTAATATCTCTGTGAATATAGGACACTCTGAAGCACTGGGAGTGAACTGTCCCCTGATGCCTGAGAATAATCACTCCAGCAGGAGAGTCTGGGAATAGTGGGTTCATGAATATGATGTCAGATAGAAGGAATCTGCGTGAAAGAAATTGAAGACTGGCTGCTGATGTCATTGCTGTTGAGAAAGGCAGGCCTAGCACAGAGAGCAAAAGCTATGGCAATGCATAAAGAGAAGGCCACCAATGTGCTTTTAGGAAACAAGTCAATGTTTCACAGAGGAGTGAATAAAGATGGTCATGCCCCTGTAGACTCCAGCAAGACACTGCAAACATTCTCACTGATGAGAAGGCACAGGGCTCAGATTTGATTTTCAGAGAAACTGACTTTTATTTGATTCACCCAAGCCTTGGTAGAGTGACAGCAGACCAATTGCAGGTATGAAAACCAAAAAGAACTCCCCCAAAAAATCCCTTTGTACTATGCAGAGTTGAAGGTGAGGAAGCTGGTGTCCACCTGGGTGTGAAGATGAACTCTCTACGCTGTGACAAAGAATCTGGTTCAATGTCTGGAACAAGTCAAGAATAACATAACACCACAAACCATTGTCCAAACTTAAAAATATCTTTCCCATACACTAGGTCAAGATGTCAAAGGCAGGCTCATATGTGGAAAGAGAGTGAGTGTGCTTACTAGGTTGAATGTCCATACTGAAAGACAAGGTAACCTTCCTCAAGTCTCAGTGAGGGGTTTTGCTCAATTAATATTGAGTACACCGTTAATTACTATTAATAAATAGTACATCAGTGTAATGTACCCATTTTGATATCATTCAGTGATCAAAGATACATTATGGGAAGAACTTGGGTAAAAGGAACAGGAGAACTCTCTGAAACTTCTTATGAGTCTGAAATTATCTGTAAATTAAAAATGTAAAGGTTCAGAGTAGTCTCAGTGAGTGCAAGAGGAAGGAGCCAAGCTCAGATTCCTGGCATCCACAGGGAGTGTAGTGGTGCACAAATGCAACTCCTCCTCAAATGACTTGAGGATCTTAGAACTTATCCTCTATTTCCCTTTAATGCAACTCTATTTGCATAAATATATAGTGTACATTATGTATATGTATTCATATCATATATAAATATGATGTACATATATTTGTGAAATATATATACATTTGTTAAACAAAAATATTCCCAAAAGGAAAAACAAGCAAACAGATAGATCAAAATGGAAGGCATCTGAGAAGGAAACAAAGGACTGGCTTCAGCTTCATTTTTCTGTTGCCGACTAGGTCTGCTTTCTAGGTTGAATGCCTACACTGAGAGATTCGGTGATCTTCTACAAGTTTAAGTGGAGATTTTGCTCAATCAATATGATCACACCCATGAAATATACTCATATTGATATCATTCCATGACCTCCATGTTAATAGAGGAACCATTCACCCAGGTTCTTCTCACATAGGTACGATAGTCTACAGGTCTCTACTTTCCAGGCCGGTATGCTAGTATGAAGGATGTAAGATGGGTCAACTTTTCTTCTAGTCAGGGAATATGCCACCTACCCCAGGAGCTAAGGTTGTTTCAGCATCACATGGGATGAGCTGGGAAACCTTGACTGCTTTTGTCAAGATGCTTCAAGCAAGTCTTAGAAAAAAAGAACTCTAGGCCCCACAGCTGGCTTCCTAACTGTTCAACAAGCCTGCCGTGGCCAAAAAGTTAAACGCAACTTGTCTAGAGTTTGGTTTCTGATGATCCATGAAATTCTGCCTCTGTTTATCACTGGCCTATTAGCCACCCCTATTAGGCACCTAAAATGGTGTGTAAGTGCCGTGCTTTGGGAAGACACAATTAAAAGTGTAAGGAGCGTTGAGCAGAGGACCATACTTTTATTGGGGATTACTCAACTGAACGTAATTAAGAGAAGTTTTCCCTGTGTGTTCCTCAGAAACTGGGCATAGACGTCAGAATACTATAGCAGTGGAGGATCTGTGGAGACATGTGTCCACAGATGCCCAGAGTAGCATCCTGGGAAAGGGAGGGTTTTAACCCCTGCTGGAGGTAGACCAAGGGATACAATAACTAATAAAGGAGAAATTAAACGGCCTTCCACTATTGTAGTGCAACTCCTCACTCACAAATCTAATGGTAAACAGAAAAACTTATTTCACCATGTGGCTATAATTTCACTACATTAAGTTACACCAAATCATGGAATAACAATTAAGATCATGCTCCTGAAACGTTATGTCTTATATGCATCCTGATTCAATGTAAAATCCTCTTTTGGCAAGAATATGGTCAACTTAATATGATAGGCTACAGGTGATTTGATAAATCATTGACTTCAGAACCAAAAGATCCAAAACAAGATGCTTCAGTTTGGATAACCAGAATACCACTCGTTGGTCTTATTTATTATACTAAAGAGCTGTCATAGGAATTCTGAGAACAATTGTGAAATTTCTCATCTAACACAAAAATCATAAACAAATGTTTTAATACTAATCAGAGTGAGCAGCCAAAATCAAATATTTGATGCTACTGTAAACTGTTAGAAGAGATGTCGTGCACCATCAGCTTAGCCTCTCCTGGTAGAAAGGAAGCTCTTACCTCTATCACATTGGTGGGACTGAAGGTGTAGATGCCAGCAGGTGCCAGCATTTCAGGATTGGACAGTCCTTCAGCCCCAGAAACACTGATGATCACATTGTTTCTTATTGTACTTCCCTGTTCCCGCCAATCTAATTAAAAAAAAAATAAACCAAATACAGGGGATTCACAATTAAGATTTAAATAACTCAATACTCTTTGACTCCGTTAATGTAGACTATATTTCATATATATGCATATTATGTACAACATTATCTTAAATATCAATAGATATTATAAAGATGGTATTAGTGATACATCAATATCTATAAGAATAATCTATTCTTGAAAAGAACCAAAGTTCAGTTTCCAGTACTCATACTGGACAGTTCACAACCTCCTATAGTTCAAACATCTAGCATGATGGGTAAATCTGATTCCTCTTCTGAGCTCTATAGACACCTGCACACATATTCATAAATTAAAATATTTTTTAAAAACATATATCTTTGTATATGATTGAGAGATGTTCTAATCTATGGGTAGAGCAATAAGCTATCAGAAATCATTTTAATACTCTATCACTTTAGCAAGAGTAGTACTGGGTTTGATGAGAATAAAAGAAAGACACAGAAGTCTTCTCAAAGTTGAGTGGGAAGGGATAAGAAAGCTGAAAGCAGGAAGTGGAGGGATGAACATAGTTCAAAATATACTGCATAAAATTCTCAAAGAATTAATACAATATTTATATATATAGTAAAATAGTATATATAATATACAAAGAGTATGCTCAACAAATTTGCAATCAACAACATTTCATATTTGCCTATAAATTATAACAACCAAAGGTGAACTATGACAGATTCAGAATAAAATAAAGTTACATATTTACCATTTTTTCTTCCAATAATAGTCTCACTAGTCATAAACTTTCTGTCCATATAGGTCCCTGAGAACAGAAGATTATATTAATTTTGCATATTTGATATAATTCAGGAAAGCAAGAGAAAAATAAAACATGATTACTTTTTTTGGACAACTTTTATCTATGATGCAGAGAAAGAGATACATATTGTATCAACTATGAGTCTTAGCATCCTGTGGAGCTGAAGTTTCTTTAAATATAAATAATAATAGTAATAGTGATGTTTTTAACAAAAATCTCCATCACTCAATTTTACCAATAAAGTCTCATAAGCCAGATGCTAGGGTAAAAGTCTGCTTGCTCAGGCAGAGAAAGCACCTAGCTGACCTTCTTCCTCAGACCACATCTTAGAAGCCTTTTGCCTTTCCTAAACTGTAGCTGACATTTTCTTTAGGATGCCAATAAACTTTCAAATAAAGATATGGAGACTTATTATTAATTAAAATTAATTCATAATTAATAATAAGCTTAGGCTCGCTCTACTCTAGCTCTTTTAACTTAATTTAACCTGTTTCTGTTCGTCTACATTTTGTCTCTGGGCTTTTTACTTTTCTTTTATTCTGTATGTCCTACTTTCAGGTTTCTTCTGTATTTGGCTGACTGGCTTCTGGTGTCTCTTTTTCTCTCTTCCCCTCAGCCTAAATGCCTCCTCTTACTTACTCTCCCTGCACAGAAGTCCTGCCTATACCTCCTCCCTTGCTATTGGTCATTAAGCTTTTTATTAGAGCAGTCAGGTGCCTTAGGCAGGCAAGGAAAAACAGTAACACATATTTAGGTAATTAAACGAATGCAACACACTTTTACATAGCTAAACAAATATTCTATAACATAAACAAATGCAACACAGCTGTATATAGTTAAATAAATACAACACATCTTTGCATAGTTAAGTAAATATTCCACAACACTATGCCATTTCAAAAGAACCTCCTCAAACTTCATGTGTCTCCCTTCTATTTCCTATGCATCTCTCTATCCATCCTTCTGATTCCCTCTATAATCATTTTTAATGATCTTATGTTCACTCCCTATCAACTGGTTGTTTGTTCTGCCTCTCGACCTATGGTTGACTTTATTTAATCCTATTTATAATATCCAAGCAGAAAGTTCTTGGATTAAACAAAGGTGTGTACTAGGGTCGAGCCACACCCATAACTAGAAACAGGCTTTTCCAGTCAATAACACAATCTCAGGGTTCATAGCATGATCAAATATCCTGCAACAGAATAGGCCTTTAATATTAATTCTTAGATGAATTCTAAGTAACTAGCTTCATTGTCCAAACCAGACAGACGGCCCTGATTGAACTCATTGGGTCACAAAAAATAGACAAATGTGAGAAGGAAACTTGGAGTGTAGGAAACAGGGAGGATAAAGAGGTGGGTGGAAAATGGGAACAACCAGATAACCTTAAATGTGTACATAAATTCCCAATGAATAAATTTAATAAAAAAAATATAAGAATGAAAAGCCACACAGCTTGTGCCCAACTGAGCCTGGCTATCAAGTTGGATGGATTGATTTTTCTAGAAGAGCGGACATGCTCTGAAGGGACATGCTGGACAGGATGAGGCAGTGACAACCTCAATGAGAAAGGACTAGAAAACATCAAATGTCCCAACCATGAGGCACAAAAGGGATTACTCATTTAGGCTGGATCACTACTGCATAAACAGTGCCACAGAACCCCTCATTACTAGGACTTTATTCTATCTGAGACTGCCATGTCATTTAATGGCTCTGAACCTGTGATTGTTTTAGGTATGACAGAATTTTATAGTGAATCAATTATTTTAATTCCCTTGATTACAAGGGATGTCAAGAGTCAATAATCCACAATAACCAAGGCTGAATTCCTCCTACAGGTATTTTTATTGCCTATTCAGTATTATTTTATACTAAAATCATATTGTTAGGATGCCATCCCAAATCTCTGCTTGCAGTCATAGACTTTCACAGAGAAAATTAAGAACACAGTCAAGCCTGTACCTGTTGGCTTGATTTCTGTAGCCACACTTCTCTCGCCAAAAGATTTTGTGTGGCTGATGACTTCATGTATCTGCTCTTTGCCTTCAAGATGGAGTTTGTTTTTATGTGAGTTCGTAAGATCCATAGCCCCCCCCCAAAAAAACATCTCTTTTGGGATTAAAACGTTTTCAGCCTTTTATCTCAAAAGATTGCTCTTACATGAATCATACACTTTCCCTGGATCACACCACAGGCCTCATTTAAAAATAAAACACTAACAATTATAGTAATAGCCTTACTTTCTACAAAAATCTTTAGTTTGCTTTTATGTTGTGACACAATCAGAGACTGCTTATTAATTCATCTTTTTCAGGTACCCAGCCTACAACAAATTATCAATACGAATGCCAAGAAGACAGTGTCTCACAAAACCTAGCTGTAAAACAAGAGGAAACAGAAGGCGACATCGAGTTTTAAGTTGACAAGTTCTAGCCTGGAGATGTAGGGGACAAAGAATGTTCCAAAAGAGTAACTGACATGATCGGAGAGGAAAAAAAATTATGCAAAAGCCATGTGGCAGAAGAAATACTGATCTTTGAGAAGAATAAAATAAAGTAGCTCCTGCCTCGTGACAGCACAGAGGAAGAAGCGAAAATGATGAGGATCGCTTTGCTGAAATCAGTTGGGGTGGAAATCACTAAAAGGGCACTCTTTAGCCCAGCTAAAACTTCTGGATTGCTTTCTGGGAGTGATGTGTTGCTGATTGGGACTTCTAATTATCTAAGGACAATTCTGGGGTTTGGTCATGACCTTAAAGGAGAGTGGCAGACACTAGTGCACAGTCTGCCGGGTCGGAAACTGTAGTCCCAGCCTACAACAGAAGCCTTTTACGCACAAATTAGATTTTAAAATCTTCAGCCAACATCATTCAAGTCTGAGCGTCTGAGACTATGTGTGAACTTGGAATTGCAGGAAATTTCATGTCAGTAAATTTTAAAACCTCCTATTAGACACTTATTAGCTTGAATTCAATTTTCAAATGATTTACTTCCTATTGATACTGCTTAGTAAGTCACTCGGTGGTGAGAAATTTAAATTTGTTTTTTTGTTGGGGGGGGGCTATATCCTATTAGGTAATGCTCGGAAAAACAATGATTTGATAAGTTTGGAATTCAACAATGAGTAAGAATGCTTATGAAAGACTACCCATACTACTCTAGAATATGTAAATTAACCCAGCAAATGTACTTACCCACCAGCAGGGCATGACCTATAATCTTGTAGAATATATTATTCTCCACCCTCAGGCCCCAGGTCCTGTGCATGCTAAGGCCTCTGCTGAAGGAACCCCATATTGAACAGCTCTGGAGATAGGAACCTGAATGGAAAAGAATAAGGTGAAGATTTTCTTCACACTTTAGAGTCTCCTCAGATTCTGTTGACCATATCCAAACAAGATATACCACCATCACCAGAAAACATTTTCCACAAAAATATGAAACTGTCCTTTGGAAATAAGCAAACCAGGAAATTGGGTAACTAAGGCCACTAGAACTTGAAGATAAAGCTAGTTGAAATCCAAGACATAAATGCTAGAAAGTGTTATCCATACATGAAAGAGAAAAATCTGGCCAAACCACAAAGCCACATGGCTATCAAAAATTCTACCTATTCAATGGCCTTTATCACAATATGGTTGATAGCCATCAAAGCCTTATGTGGTTTCACTTGGATTTTTAAAATCTACCCTTGCATATGAAGTTGTGGCCAGTATTTCGTGGATGAGAAATTCCTGTTTATACCTTGTCAACTGTTCCTGTTCCAGTTTAGCTTCTATTGCTATGTTACATACTAGGGCCACAAGGAAATTGGGGATGAAAGTAGGATGTTCTATTCTACAGCTTCCACTCTGTCCCTGAGCAAGGCAAGGCAGAAACCACTGAGGAAGACTGTTTACTCGCTCACTCTCCCACGGGCCATACCCAAGTAACTTTTTTATACACACGTGAGCAGTGCCATGGGCTGGAAGATTGACAGAAACTGTATCCTGTGCTGCACAACTGTAGCTGATAGCAAACAGTTATTTGTTGATGGTTGTAAAACATAAACCATTCTTTTTTGAAGGATGCAGAGATGGAGATATTGAGGCAGAGCCATCACTTTCCTAAATGTCATTTCATTTCAGTAGAGTTGAAGCAGCTTCCCCTGTATTTGCATAAACCTGGTTCTCAGGTCAATTTTGAGTTTTGACTCTGCTACAGTGAATGCTGCCATTAACTGGAGGCAGGTGGCGCATGTGTTTCTCTCTCTTATACTTCTTTTGAAGATCATATGCATGTGTGTATAGTATGCATGCACACCCTTTATGTACATGCATATAAAACAGAACCTGATATTTGCATGTACTATTGAAAACTAAAAAAGTATGTTCCGCTGTATACATAGAAATAGGGCATTGATGACCAGGTGGTGGTGGTGCACAACTTTAATCTCAGAACTCAGGAAACAGACACAGGCAAATCTCTGAGTTTAAGGGCAGTCTAGTCTACAGAGTGAGTACCTGGATAGCCAGGGCTACATAGATAAATCATGTCTTGAAGAACAAAAAAAGAACAAATTGGGCATTTCTAAGAACTGAGTTATAAATTAAATTTATAATCTTATTTTTCTTATCTTTAAACAAACAAAAATTTAAAGTTATAATTTTTAGCACAGGCTTCTCTAAGAATGAACCTATTTTTATTATGGACAGTTTTTCCTCTTTTAAGTTTATAATAACATGCACCATAGACTGTCTTAAAAATGAACTGTGTTCGTTGAGATAATACATTTAAGCAGAATGAAGGCATGGAGGAAGAGTAAATGAATGGGGTGATGGAATGTGATATTAGGAGACTGAAGATCATCAAAGTATACTTTATGCATGAATGAGATCTTATAAAGAAACCCATTAGTTTGCACAATTAATAAATTTGAATAAAAATGATGAATAGTCTACATCAGTCAAGATATATTAGCAAACTGTATTATTCCATTATGACTTTAATCATATGAGTACTATACAGTTGGTACAATATCTTTTGAAGATAAATCCCTGGAATAATCAGGTAGGATTAATATAGAAAACTGTATATTGGCTCATAACTAACACTGAATGTATTTTATAGATAATCTTAAAAGTAATGAAGATAAATCATTTGCTTTTGAAATACCAGTTCAAATTTTTGCTTCATATTTCTTCTCAAGAAAAAAAATAATTATTAGAAGTTTTAAATATTCTACCCCCCCC